GTTGTTCGAAAAGACCATGAAATGTTTTGCAGCCATTGCCGCAGTTTGCAGTCCCCAGGGTTTCCAACAAGAATTCTTGGTTGATTCAGGGGCGGGTAGGAATTTGATCTCCACAAAGGATATGCCGGTCCAGTGGAATGATTTCATTGCTGATGCCCCAGAACAATTGAGATTTGCAACGGGCGGTGGCATGCACCCTAGCTCTAAGGCATTGAAGTTGAAAGGTGAGGTCTCAGGTGAAGGTATCTTTTACACGTTGAAGGATTGTCCAGCAGCCATATCACTTGGTCAACAGGTCAGTGAGCAAGGTAAAGCATGGATATGGTTCCCAAACCAATGGCCGTTTTTCATTCAATCTCATCGTCTATCAGACGTTACATTCCATTGTCTTGAGTCTGCTAAGCTTTACGTTGATAGAGTTGAGCAGAATGATCAGAATGTGCCTGTTTTGTCAGAAACTGTCGAGTGCCTTGCAGTGCCAGCTGTGGATGAAGTCCCAGAAAAGCCACATGCAACAGGTTCATCGGCCTCATCTTCAAGTGAGAAGCCTTCTTCGGCTCCACTTGGTGAGAAATCGCCATCGGCTTCGCATGAGGATGTTGCGCCATCAGTTCATCCGAAATCGGTTCCAGGTGATGAGCCATTGGTGCTAGAGCCGGATGAATCTAAAGAATTGGTTGGTACTTCAAGGGTTCGTGATGTCAGTCCCAGTCCTAGTTTAAGAGGTGAAGGGGACCCACCGGAAAATCCTCCCTCCTCAGAGGATGATGGAGAAGAAGCCGTAAAGACTTTGAACCATTCATTGACACACTTCCCCAAAAGCAAGCATTGTGAGATATGCATGAGAGCTAAAATGACTTCTAGACACCATAGGAAAAGGGGTGATCCTGATCCAGATGAGAAGCCACCACTCCATTTTGGGCATCAGCTTCGTGTCGATCATATCATTATTGGAAGTGAAGTTTCAAAGGGTTCTGAGGGAGAACAAGCTTGCCTCATTTGTCATGATGAGTACAGTGGGGTTTATCAAGCATTTTCCCAAGCATCAAGAGCAACATCAAACAACGTAGCTTGTCTGCGGAAATTCGGTGGGTCGAAAGCCCATGGTTGTGCATTATGTTCGGTCGTGTCAGATTCAGCCCAAGAGCTTACCGAAGCCGTCAAGCAGCTAGGATGTTACCGGAACCAAGTTTGCCGAATGATCCCTTCCACAACTCCAAATTGGAGAGCAACATCCGTAGGATAAAGGAAGGAACTAGGGCAATACACCTTGCTGCGGGATTTCCACATGAACTTTGGCCACGTAGTGTTGAGTATTTTTGTGCCGCCAAAAGCTTCACTACCCTTGCGCCAATCCATCCAAATGATTCAGATGAAGTCAAGAGATGGAAGCAAGGCTTGACATGTTATGAAGTTGCCAATGGTGGTGAGCCGTTTGAGGGTAAAAGAGTACCATTGGGTGCATTTGTATATTACAAGCCACCTCATCACACCAACAAGCCAGCGTTTGAGGCTAGGACGTGACCAGGAATTTTTGTGGGATGGCGAATGGACTCAGCTTTCAAGCACAGAAAAGTTCATTTAGTTTTGGACTATGAGAGTGTTAGAACTAATGCGAAAGGTTTTGGTAGACCGTTGCAAGTTCATGATGCTGAGTTAGTTGTGCCAGATAACCTCATGTTTCCTATGTTTCAAGCTGGGCAGGCAAAATTAGGTGGAGGTTCAGGAGAGTTGCCAAAGATTGCATTGCCATTCGAGGAAGGTAGCCAGGCACCAAGGACACCAGCTAGGTCAAGGAAGACCTATGGAACCTTGGATCGGGCCATCAAATTCGGCAAGACGGTAGGATGCCGTGGATGTGATCGGATTGCTGAAGGTGTGAGACACTCAGATGCATGCCATGAAAGGTTCAGACTTTGCCTCGAAGAAGAGTCCGGGAAAGCAACAGAAGAAGCTGAAAAGAAACGTAACGATGCAAACATCAAAGAACTCGATGAGATAGAAGAGAGACTCAAAGCCATCGAAGCGGTAGGTATGAGGGAGCTTGATGAAATTGAAGCTTCACTTGATGCAGCTGATGCGGCAAGTGCACCAGACGTTCCTTTTGGAGCAGCCAATCCGACTTGCAACCACAACCATACTCACCATCAAGAAAAGGTTTCGACCAATGATTTTTGGGAGTTTGATGATTGCAAGAAGGCATGGTGCAAGGTTCACATTAGACCCCGTAAAAGACTGTTTGCTCCGGTAGGTGGCGATTGTCCGTTTTCAGCTCAGCAAATCACCCATGAAAGATTGACTGAATGGGTATGTCGCAGGAGGACTTCAATGTACAGAGATAATTGGCAATCAAATCCCAATCAAAGAATTTCGTCAAAGAGCTGGGTAGGCAAGACGTGGTTTTTCCCAATCGATCCAGTTTACGCCAAGAGGGCAGCAGTGCAAGCAGCTGTCTTTAATGCCAAGATCAACCGTGATCTTCTGAAGGGTGATGCAGCCGTTGAGTGTTTGCTTGAAGGGTTGGATGCAAATTCCCGCAAATCTATCATGGCTATGATTTCCAAAGTTGAACCAAACAGCTATTCTCATGCTAGGCAAGCCGTCAAGAAGGGTGAACCTGTGATGTTTGAGTTTTGTTGCTCGGATGAATCCACTTTGGGGAAAGAAAGTTCACGAAGAGAGAGGGATTACCCATTTCCGTTTGAGTGAGACTACTTCGGATTTGTCAGATCCTGAAGAGATTGACTCCCTCAAGAATTTGTTGAGCCTTTTTCCTGGCTGCAATTTGTGGGGGTCGCTGCCGTGCGGCCCATGGTCAAAATGGCAGTCAGTCAATTTGGCAAGACATGGGGTTCAATTCAGAAAGAGGTTGGAAAAGAAACGTGCTCAATCAAAGAGACTCCTCAAGCATTTTATTGAAGTAGCTGAACTTGTCTTGTCACAAGGCGGGCACAAAGGTTTCGAGTGGCCCAAGGGTGCAGCTGGTTGGCAGTTACCGGAACTGACAACTTTCATTCAGAGAAATGGCTTGTACCTAGCTGAATGCCACGGATGCTATTTTGGACTTCAAAGTTCGAAGGGCAACCCAATGTTGAAACCACGGCACGTTGTTACCAGTGATTACAGACTTGCAACAAACCTCAATAAATGCAGGTGCCAGCACATGAAGGGTTTTAAGCATGACCACGTGAAGGGGAGTGATACCCCAAAGACTGCCTTCTATCCCGAACCAATGGCGAGAACAATCAGTGAATGCCTTTCTTGGAGCATGTGTTTGCGATGCCAGTGATACCGGAAGCACAGCGCGCACATGGTCAGAAACAGCCAGGATCGAAACGGTCCGGTGCAACAAGGGCAGGAAGCCTTCCAGCTCTCCCTGGATGTTTTGCAAATCATTCTACGAGTCAAAGTGATGTCGTCAGAGCGTACATTCAAAGCACTCTCAACACCAAGGTTCCCACGTGGGTTGAATTACCTGCTGAATTAGTACCTGAGGAGTTTAAAGGCGTAAAGCGTCCATGCGTCCGCCTCTACAAGTCTCTTTACGGGCACCCTGAAGCAGGGTGGCATTGGGACCAGAAATTCAAGCAGGTGATGTCAGAGTTAGGAGCGACGCACTGTGCCGACACATTTCAGTCCACTTATTACATGAAGGATTCGGGATTGCTTTTGACGTTGTATGTAGATGATATGATCCTTAGCGGCCCATCAAAAGCTCATGCGTCATTTTGGCAGAAGATCCAGAAATTCATCGAGATAGAAGAACCCACACCTGTTAGCAGAGTTTTGGGAAGACATCACAACATGGTTGAAGATGAACATGGAAAAAGAATGCATTTTGACATGAGCGATTTTGCGAAAAATGTGTGTGCATCCTATGAACATCTCAGTGGATGTACATTGAAACCAGCAAACACCCGGTTTTTGTCAGAGGGTTCATTGGTTACCAGTGACTACAAAGTCAAGGGGGCTATGGCATCAGATGCTTCGAAAGTGCTCATGAAGATTATCTGGAGCGCACGACTTTCGAGACCAGACCTGATGAAAGGAATTTCGCATCTTACCCGCAAAATCACAACATGGTCAAGAGCGGACGACCGTAAGTTGTTCCGTCTCATGTGCTACCTAAAAGGGACCACAAACTATGTACTTGAGGGATATATCCGAGATAAACCAGAGGCTCTGAAGCTCAACCTTTATACAGACGCAGATCGCGCATCTGGAGTAGAGGATGTAAAGTCGACTTCGGGAATGTTTTTGACACTGGAAGGGCCACAATCCTTCTGGCCCTTATGCTGGGGCTCCAAACGTCAAGGAGCCACTGCTCGAAGCACATGCGAGGCAGAGATTGTTAGTCTTGATTCTGGGCTTTTGGGGAAGGACTTCCAATGCAGGATATTTTTGAGACAGTCTTGAATCGGCCTGTTCATTTGGTATGTCAACAAGATAATGCATCCGTAATCCAGATCGTCCATGGAGGCTACTCTGCGAAACTCAGGCATTTGAAGAAAGTACACAAGTTGAATCTTAGTGCCTCTATGAGGCATTTGATTTTCCAGACGTTTTGCTTCAATATATTAAGTCAGCAAGTCGGAGAGCAGACCCGTTCACAAAGGCACTGGAACCATGCAAATGGCCATCTGCTTTGGAGTTATTGCACATCAGACCGCCTTGATATTTTCCTAAAGCTCGAAAGCCCCTATCCAGTAGCAACATGCGAGAAGGCGGAGAAGAGAAGTATCAGGTAAATCATGGCACCAGTATCACCAACATCCATCGAGTTGCATGTGAATGTATAAGTGTCACCAACTACAATGTGATGATTTGGATTGAAGCTTGGGTGCGTAGCCGTCGATGCTCCAGCCATTGCATGATACTGGAATTAGTCATGTGAACTTATATCATCAAAGATGAATGTTCATGGAATACAGTTTGCTAATCTGTGACATGAACACTGATGGTACCAATATGGATGTCCATTAGGTGTGCATGTCTACTTCATGAACCACCAGGGTCGGGTGAAACAAACATTTCACATTACCGACTTTGGCTCAAGCACAGCAAAAGAGAGAGCAGCTTCACTGCTGTTTACGTTGCCTTGTGCGGTCGGGTAGCCAGAGTTTTTCCTTTATATATATATATAGAAGATAATAAAAGGTTATATAAGGTAATATAAGGTAGTATAAGGTATGTGATATGATATACGTATAATGTATGTATATATGTATGTATGTATGTATGTAATGTAATGTAATGTAATGTAGTGTAATGTAGTGTAATGTAATGTAATGTAATGTAAGTATGTATGTATGTATGTATGTATGTATGAATGTATGTAATGTATGTATGTATGTATGTATGCATTTGATAAGATATCACGAATGATACAAAAACGGCTTTAAGAATAGAGAGAGTAGAGAGAGAAACTCAGGTGCTACATGGGTCCAAGGTGCTACACAGTACTACACTGTATAAGTCATGGCTTGGATAGATATTGATTCCACTAGCTTCAGCACAAGCGAAAGAAGAGACATACTGAGACATGAAGAGGCAGTGAATTCGGATCCAGCTGATCCTGCCTGGTCCAACCTTCTTCCCAAGGAACTATAATAGTAGATGCAAGATATCGATGTAACAACTAGATGTAACAACTAGATGTAACAACTAGATGTAACTAGTTTGACCAACAGTTTGAATAACAGTTTGACCAACAGTTTGACCAACGGTGACTGCGACCAATGGGAGGCTGCCAAGGGCGCCAGTGCCTTTCACAGGGCTGAAGATGCTGAAAGAGAACTGCGCAGGCAGGGCACCCCGCCCAACCCCTGCCATGTGGAGTGCTTCACAATGCTTCACACCCATGTAGTATACACCATATAGATCCATATATCATCATATAGCAGCTCTATGCAGTTCTCCATGTTCCTATGTGGTCATCTGAAATAAATCTATACTCAACTTACCCAACCCAAGAGTCACAGCCTGGGAAACCATCCGCTGAACTCACCGAACACCTCAAAATGTGAGGCTGCGTTTGGACCGATCAGAGAAGGAGAAGCAGGTTCAGGAGCGCGGAGTCAGAATGACAGGGAAAGTGTAGACAAGGGAAAACAACAATTCTGATGCCAATGATATTGAAGAAATTGCGATCCCAGTTCCAATTTCATGTTGATTCCTTCTTTGATGCGGTGTTGGAAGTGTGTTGGATGTGTTACAGCGTTGGTACATTTTTCTCTTAAAACATTCTTGCATGTGATATTCAGGGACATTTGGATCCAACTTTCAGGATCTCACCCGGCAGCTTTTCGATGCGGAGCGACGTGCGTCTGCGGTCGAAACTTCTCAAGTTGCGTCTCTTGCTGCACCTGGGGCAAATTCCAGGGCTGACCTGTCGGGAACCATGGCGACCCTCAACTGAATCTGATAATCTGGACGATACGGCTATACATAAATGTACAGACAAAAATTACACCAGCATAGACCCCAGATAGAAAAGGTCTCAGAAACTCTTTTTATGGGCGAATTGGCTGCGGCAATAGCGGAACTGCTCGTTCCCAAACGTTGGAACCAATGCGTTCTAATCTTGGAACCAAGGGACTGTCAGTTCCCAAACGTTCGACTACCGTTGGTCAAACGTTGAATCTATGCTTCCCAATCTTGGAACCATGTGTTTCCAATTCAAATAAATCCGCCGGGCGGCACCAAGAAAGGCACTTGAGGAAAACAAGAGTTGCATATTGGACCGACATGGAAAACATGTTCTATTAAATAACCGTAAAGTTTTGCATATTGGTCCGTTACCACCGATGCGTTCGCAATAGGCATGCTTATAGTGACTGGCGACAAAAAGAAGGCGCGTGATTGAACACAACATATTGGGCAATCACGTAAAATAAGATATATACTTAAAAAAAACGCGCTTTTTCAGAACACATGTGGCATGTGCTCAAAATCCAAAAAATCCGTCATAGCACGAATAAAAAATGAAAACATGTTTTAATTTAATTCATCCTAAGACTTAATTGTCATGTGCGCACGGGTTTCCAGTTATTCGAGGGCAGTTCCGAAGCCTTTGCACCAATGCTTTCCAATCTTCGAAGCACATGTTCCCAGTTCTAGGAACTACCGGTTCCCAAACATTGGCTTGAACCAATGCTTTCCAATTTCGAAACCACGGGTTCCCAGTTCCACGAACTGCTGCTTCCTAAAGATTGGAATCAAAGCTTCTTAATCTTGGAATCGCAGGTCCAGTTCTAGGAACGAGCGCCCCCCACACATTGGAACCATTGCTTCCCAATCTTAGAACCTCGGGTTCCGAGTTAGACGAACTGACGGTTCCAAACCTTGTAACACATGTTTCCCAATCTTGTAACCACGGGTTCCCAGTTCGGGGCACCGCTGGGTCACAAAGGTTCGAACCAATGCTTCCCGATCTTGGAATCACGACTTCCCAGTTTGAGGACAAAGCAGTTCCCAAACATTGGAACCAATGCTTCCCAATCTTGGAACCTCGGGTTCCCAGTTCTAGGAACTAGCAGTTCCCAAACATTGGAACCGATGCTTCCCCAAACTTGGTACCACGGGTTCTGAGTTCGAGGAACTTACGGTTCCAAACGTTGGAACCAATGTTTCCGACTCGCGGTTCCCAAAAGTTGTAACCGATCCCTCCCAATCTTGGAACTACGGGTTCGGAGTTCCAGGAACTGAGGTTCCAAACGTTGGAACCAATGCTTCCCAACCTTGGCACCACGGGGTCCCAGGTCGAGGAACTGCTGGTTCCCAAAGGTTTGAACCAATGCTTCCCAATCTTGGAACCAGGGGTTCCCAGTTCTAGGAACGACCGTTTTTCAAACGTGGGAACCCATGCGTCCCAAGCTTGGGCTCGTATGTTTACAGTTGCGGGAATTGCTGGTGCACAAAGATTGGAATCAATACTTTCCAAGCTTGGAACTGTAGGTTCCCAGTTTTAGGAATTACCGGTTCCGAAGCGCTGGAACCAATGCTTTGAAATTTTGTAACGCGGATTCCGAATGCGAGGGGCCGCCGGCCTCCAAAGATTTGAGCCAATTGTCCCAAGTTGGAACCATGTGTTCCAAGTTCCAGGGAACGCCGGCTCCCCAAAACTGAAATTATGTCTTGTAACTTGAAAACTTCGCGGTCCTATGTTTCTGAGTTTTGACACGGGTTTCATTTGCAAGAACTGCGATTGAAAAGGTTGTAACCTTGGCATCGGATTGAGCACAAACTTTTGCAATAAGCTTTTGTTGTTTTGCTTAATGGTCCGCCAAAAAGATGTTTATGTATGTCTTTTGTTTTTTGGAACGCGCATGTAAGACAAGTAGTTGCGTGAAAAAACGGCAATTGTTGATGAATGGGCCGGCATCAAAAAAGGCATTTGTGGAAAACAAGAGCTGCATATTATTGTGCCGCTATGATTCTATGGAATAATCGCTTTGTTTTACGTCTTGGTCGGGTACCACCGATGCGTTCGCAACAGGCATGCTTTTAGTGACCGATGGCAAAAAGAAGGCGTGTGATTAAACAACACATATTGGGCAATCACGGAAAATAAAGCATTTTTTCAACAACATGCGACATGTGCTCACTAGCCCGACATCAAAAACAAAAAATATGCGTTATAGAACGAACAATATAACATATTACTTTGCAAAACTGCGACTCCCAAGAGTTTGAAGTCATTCGCGCACAGGTTCGCAGTTCGAGGAACTGCTGGTTCCCAAGCGTTCGAACCAATGCTTCCCAATCTCGGAACCAGACAAATTCCCAGTTCTAGGAACTTGCGGTTCCCAGCTCATGATTCCAAATCTTGGAGCCACGGGTTTCCAGGAATTGCTGGTTCCCAAGCGTCCGAATCAATGCTTCAAATGTTGGAACCACAGGTTACCAGATCTAGGAACTAGCAGTTCCCAAACGTTGGAACCAATGCCTCCCAATCTTGGAAACACGGGTTCCTAGTTCGAGGAACTGCACAGCACCCTGCACGTGCTGCGCAGCATCTTTGGCAGACTTTGCCACTGCACTGTTTGCAGCAGCCTCACAGCATCCTGCACACAACCTTTGCCAGACCTCTCCACCGCTGCACAGCAGCCTGCGCAGCACCTTGCACATGCTGCGCAGCACCTTTGCCAGACTTCGCCACTGCACTCTGGACAGCAGCCTGCACAGCACCCTGCACAACACCCGCGCTCCGCACACCACCCTGCACACCACCCTTGCCAGACCTCGCCACCGCACCCTGCACAGCACCATGCACAGCACTATGCACAGCACCTTTGCCAGACTTCGTCACCGCACTGTGAACCTTGCAGCGCCCGCACAGCTTGCACAGCAGCCTGCACAGCAGCCTGCACAGCACCTTTGCCAGACTTCGCCACAGAGTTCGCCACCAAAGACTTGACCATTGAGAAGAGAACCCCTGTAGTTTCCAGCTATATATATGTATATGTATATATATATATGTATATGTATATATATATATTATATATACATACATATATGCATATATGGACATAGATATAGATATAGAGATGATTTCTAATGGTTCTAATGGTTTCGCCAAAACAGTTAATCACATGTATTTCGGCTTGCAACTGCTGTTGTGACATTCAGTTTTGGCCTCCACCGATGACCGACGTGACAACAACACCTACAAAAATTTAAGTAACTTCCACATGACGGCGAAACTCGTGGCACATGGATGACCGACGTGACAACAACACCTACAAAAATTTAAGTAACTTCCACATGACGGCGAAACTCGTGCACATGGACTACAAAAAAACATGGAGGAACTGTGGCTTCAGGATTGGCATGGAATACCTTTGTTCTTCCAGTTTCCCAATGTCCGGCGGCAAGGCTCCCTGACTTGCAGCAGATCCAGCGGCAATTGGGCATCCTGAGTGCAAGCGCTGGCTTGTCGGAAACTCTGCCGTGTGTGGATGCCCTCCTCAAAACAATGAAATATGATGGAACATGATGG